TTTGAAAATTATCGGGAGGACGGGAGGTGCTCGTAACGTCTCGGATCGGCCCGTAATTCTTCTCACACGGTACGAGCCGCGAGCATCTGCGATTTTCTCCCGAGAGAAAAAAATCGCCTGCGAGCTCGTATGACAGCAAAAATCGCACCGTGTACGCCCGCCTTAAGTTTATGTCTATGGCGATTCACAGTATGGTGTTACTCCGCAGCGGTGACGACCCGACCAGGCTACAATAGTCCAAATATAAGTACTTATTATAAGTGTACCGTAGTGATTCGGAATAAGACAAAAAACACGGTTTGGAAGATGAATTCATAATGTACTCACTCATTATATACATTTTGCAAATTTTCAACACAGAAAAAGTTAAATAGTGCTGCTTTAATATTTTTGCATTGCTAATTGGTTAAATTTTTCTGTACTTCTTAAAGCCAAGACATGTGAACGTTGACATCTAATGCCAGTCTTTTTATTCCTTGGCTTCACAGCAGTCAGAGGAAGCCGTGCATGTGAATGGCGAGAGAATAGAGAATGAGTCTGATGAAGAAGAGTCAGAGGACGGAGAAGACACAGAGGAGGATGAGGAGCTGGTCAGAGAGGATAGAGCCAAAGCCTCTCGGGAGGGACCCAAGATAGATTCAGTCTCTCAGGTGGGAATTTCAGCAACAAAGCTCATGAGCCAATGGAAAAATGGTCTCATCCATTCTTTTTTTCCATCTTGTTGGTTATTTCCTGGATATTTTGTCCAAATGGCTTGTTCACTGAACCTGTGAACAATTAGAGTAGCATCTAGTCATTACATTCCTCTGGAAGGATGTTTATTTGTTAATTTTTCATTCAAAAGCCTCTTGAAGAAGAACAGGATTCTGAGGAGTCACCAGAGGGCGAAGGTGAAGAGGAAGGGGATGAATCAGACTTGGTGAGTTCACAAACATTCTATCAGAAGACACAGCATAGCCAAGAGTTATTTGCACACAATGCTTTGAGACCAGGGAGTTTCACAGATCTGATTTGAGGTTCCTGAGATAATGCTTTGTTTCAGTTTGTGGACTGTAAGTTCCTTCTGTCCTCCTCAGAGTTCAGAGTCCAGTTTGAAAAAGAAATGGAAAAAGAAAGTCAAGGGGGACCATGCCTGGCTCCGACCATCAAGGAAACGCAAGAGGAAATTGAAAGCGAAAACAGAAGGACTATCAGGTACAGTAAATGTTAAAAGGCCCGTTTTCCTTGAATATCTGCTGTAGGGCAACACCTCAGCTGTTAATGACTTTCATTTACAAATCTGTCCCATCATAACTCCAGGAATGGAGTCCCAGTCTCAATCTGAGAGCCAGAGCTCCCCATCAGCCCCTTCTGACAACAGGAAAGAGTATAAAGAAGTCCCACTAGACTCCCTCAACCTAGCAGCACAGGAAGCCTTACTGACATCTCCAAGTACAGGTGAAATTAAATCCTGAATTATTATTAATATATACGTTTTTGGGTATTTAACTTGGGATAGCAGTGAATGATCTTGTAGATGAAAACGATGGTTTGCTTTTTGACTATATGATGAAGTGCATGGGGAAGTCTGTTTCTGGTTTAATGCTATATAAATGTGTCTTAAGTTGCAACCTGTTAAATTCTTCAAGTTAAAAGTAGAAATTGGCTGCTTCATCTAGTTACAAATACATTTTTTATGTCTTTAGGCTTTACCATCTGATTGGTTTCAATGTCAGTGTCTTGAAAGACACATTTGTGTAAATTTGTGTTGTAAGGCCTTTGTGGTGGCCTCCATCTTGGATAAAATGAGTCATCAAGACTCAACTGATATGGTGCCCCCTGGTGGTCATGTGTCTATTGAAGAGTAATCCTGAAGCAGTTTGTGCTATCTATGCAATATTTTCCATCGATATACATCTGATTTTGAAGTAACATTATAATAAAAAATAAAAAAAAGTGTGTGTTTCTTAGCTGTTTCAGGGTCAGTGGAGAGCACAGACACCGACATGGTGCAGGAACTGCCCCTTTGCAGCTGTCGAATGGAGATGCCCAAGAGCCGAGAGATTCTCACGCTTGCGGACAGGAAGTGTATGGCGACAGAGAGCATTGACGGCCAGGTGAGATGGTTACTCTTGTGAATATGTAGAACGATGATGGTGACAGTGATTGCATTTTCAGGAGTACATTATCTCACTATATACCATGGGTACTCAACTCTGGCCCTTGATGTCTTTGAGATCTCGAGGTCCTCAAGCTCTGGCCCTCACTTTTTGATCCAACTCACCTGCCTTCCTAGTAATCCTGAAGATTTTTATTAGCTTGTTCAAGTGTGTTTGATGTGGTTTGAGCTAAACTCTGCAGAAAACTGGACCTTGAAGGCCAGAGTTAAGAACACCTGCTATATACCATCTGAATATGGGTACCAATTTTTTAAATGAAATGAGATAAATAATTCGGTTCAGTACAGAAGGTCCTAGGATTCATCTAACTGCTGAATACTTGGCATCTTCTTTTTCTGTATTGTCATTTTTCATGTTACAATACACGTTTTTTTACTCTTTTTAAAAGAGAAGGTTCAGAACTCTATTCTAATTGGTTCCCTGTTGTTCTGGGGGTAGCTGAGCCGTTGTCAGAGTGCAGTGCTGAAGCACGAGATGATGAGGCCTTCAAACTCTGTCCAACTGCTGGTTCTGTGTGAGGACCATCGTACGGGCATGGTCAAACATCAGTGCTGCCCAGGCTGTGGCTTCTTTTGCAGAGCCGTGAGTCTTTGGCTTTACCCAAGAGAACGTTTTAGATCTTTGATTGGGTTTCAGCATGACAAGCCACTGGCCAAGAAATTCATGACTGAGTGCATGTGTCTGAAAAGCTCCAGAGTTTTTACTTCAGCCACATTTGAGCAAAACACTCAAAGGTATTTCATGTGGCCATCGTGTAGGGCGTCTTCATGGAGTGTCAGCCAGAGGTGAACATCTCCCACCGGTTTCATCGAGCCTGTGCCTCGGTGCTCAACGGTCAGAGCTTTTGTCCACACTGCGGAGAGGAGGTCAGCAAGGCGAAAGAGGTCACCATTGCCAAGGCTGATACGACGTCTACTGTGCCTCTCACCCACGGCTCCTGCGCGCCCACCACCTCAGAGGGCAAAGCAGACACCACCACTGGAGGGTATGTGTAAGCTGTTTAATGTTGTGTACCTAGGTAGGACTTTCTGGATCAGCATCCTTGTAGGATTTTTTTGTGTTTGTTTCTCCAACTTTTGGGTTAAAATTGATTTGTTGGTCAATAAAGGTCCACTCGGCTCTCTATTCTTGGAGAGGGCAAAGCAGATAGCACCTTACCCAAACCTTCACGGTCACAGGACACATCTGTGTCGCCTTTGGGCTCCAGAACCGGACCTGTAGGAGCTGGATCTGGAACCGGACCTCCACCAGGAACCACTAAAGAAACTCTGGAAAGTGTCCTGCTGGCTCTAGATGCAGAGAAGTAAGAAAACCAACTATTATGGCCACATTATCCATACTAACATGGGGTTCAATCATTATGAAGTCTTGTACAATTTGCACTGACTCATTCCCATCATTTTTTCTACTCCAAGACCCAAGAAGCTTCGGTTTCACCCAAAACAGCTGTACATTTCTGCCAAACAAGGGGAGCTGCAGAAGGTCCTATTGATGTTGGGTAAGAGAGATGAATATTAAGTTATTTGTCTTATTCATGGTTCTCTGCTCTGTGCTGGAAACCACCTTTGTCATTCTCAGTGGATGGGATAGACCCTAACTTTAAAATGGAGAGCCAAAACAAACGCACACCGCTCCATGTAGCAGCTGAAGCAGGTCATCAGGAAGTCTGCCATATGCTGGTGCAGGTGAGGGCAAATGCTAATGAACTGGTATTAACTCAAAGATGAAAATTCATCATTAATTCACCCCACCTGTGTGACTTTCTTTTTTTCTGTGAAACATAAAAGAGAACCCTGTAGTAGTTCTGATCTCCTTTGCATATACAGTTATGACTTTTCATGATGTGTCACACCTGGTTTGACCTCAATGACTTTGACATTATCATTAAAATCAGTGATTTTATTCTTCAGGCTGGTGCAAACCTTGACATGTGTGATGAGGACCAGCGGACTCCCCTGATGGAGGCCTGTGAGAACAATCATCTTGACACAGTACGCTATCTTCTGAGGGCTGGAGCCATCGTCTCTCACAAGGTCAGCTGCCACGAGCAAGAGGGTTGATAAGCCAGTCTGTTTAGTACATTCTGTAATCAAATGCTTTTTGAGGAACATCCACTCTGTTTGAAGCCTGTTCACATCCTGTTTCCTTTTCTTTTCAGGATGTTGAAGGTTCAACATGTCTCCATCTTGCTGCTAAGACTGGACATTTTGGCATTGTACAACATTTGCTGTCTACAGGCCTTGTAGATATTAACTGCCAGGTTTTGGAACTTCTGTTACATTTAACATTTGTAAAAATATTTTGAGAATGCAAGATGGTGTTTTTGGGGATTTCCACCATTTGAGTCAATAGACTCTGCCAAACATATCTCAGGAATTTCACAACTGCACCAATAGTCCTCCATCCAACTGAAAACTACTCCTACTGATTCTTGTTGTGAGTTTCTCAAAGATTACAAGGCACGTTAATGATACACTCTCAAAATTATTATTATTTTTTGTTAATTTGTGTAGGGGTTTTTTTTTTGGTCATTAAAAAAATTAAATCTGAAATTCCTCTAAATAACACAGTAGAAAATATTTTGTTGCTTTGGACATTTTTTCTTTGGTTTTAATAACCATAACAAAATAACTTTTCACTTATCCATTAAAAAAGTTTTATCTTAACCTTGAAGTATTATTTATTTATTTATTTTTATATACCAGTAGTTCTCAACTAGAGGGCCTCAAGATGACATAAAATGATTTGCATTTAAATTTACATTTTTTATTACTTTTAAAAGTGTGGTTTCTAGACCTGGAAAAGCCATGTAAAATAATAAAATCTTAAAAAGCCATGGGCATTTTTGTAATGAATATACGTTGTTCTAGTTATTTCAAACTTCAAAGTATTTCATTGCATAGTAATTGTGAGGAAAAACAATTTTGTAAAAATCCTGATAATCCTTCAAATTAATGGGGCTTTCAATATTGTTGTGGACAGTGGGAGCCATTGGAGTCAAAAATACTGAGATGTAGTTGCATTTCTTGTTCCAGGATGATGGAGGATGGACAGCCATGATTTGGGCCACGGAGTACAAACATGTAGACCAAGTAAAACTCTTGCTCTCCAAAGGGGCTGACATCAACATCCGAGACAAGGTCTGTGTGCTGTGTTTTGTATATGGAAACTGCAGTAAAACTGCATCAAAGTTACATCTGCAGTTTTACAGTATTTTGTAGTTTACTTTGTCAAATTTTTAATTCTTGCATAGGTTTAGATGACAGACTGTTTAAAATGCAGTGTATTTGATCTGTTGCAATCGCCAACTCTGATTCTAGGAGGAAAATATCTGTCTGCACTGGGCGGCATTCTCTGGCTGCGTGGAGATAGCTGAGATTCTGCTGGGTGCAAAGTGTGATCTGAACACTGTCAACATCCACGGAGACTCACCGATGCACATAGCGTCACGGGAGAGCCGGCTCGACTGTGTGAAGTGAGTAAACCTCCACTAGGTTTTATCGATCCAGACTGATTGATTGGGAAACTTCCTTTCAATCTCACAGGTCTGTAGTGAGCTAGGCTTATTTACAACTTAGTGACGTCTGAGCCATCCACCTAGAAGATAATTCTACTGCAGGATTACACCCATATCCGATGTACTGCAGTCTAATCAGGTGCTTGTGTAGATCCCAATCAGCTTAAAGCTGCATTCTTTTATCGGAGACTGGATCAATGTCATGTAGATTTATTGAAGCTGGACACTAGCAATAAAGGCTTGCTCTCATCATTTCCTGGACAAATTTTATTATTGATACGTTGGCAGGCAGTTACAGTGGTTGGTTGGAGTCCTGAATGTAATATTGCCACAGGAGAAGATGGATTACACATATATTTTTTCATCCTTAGAATTGGTTTGTTTGAAACCATTGAATCAAAGCAAAATATTTACACTGAGGATGAAAATGTGTCTAAGACAAAAAAATTTTTTTGGAAAATGGTGTTTTTTTTTTTTTCATTTTGTTTGTCCTAACTTTTAAGATAACCTCTTTTGTGCCTCCTGTAGCTTGTTTCTGTCACGAGGTGCTGACATAAGCCTTAAGAACAAAGAGGGAGAGACGCCCATGGAGTGCTGCAGCCAGAACTCGAAAGTTTGGACCGCCCTTCAAGCCAGTAAAAAGCAGAGAGAAGCTAACAGCAACCAGACTGGCCCTGTAGAGAAGCTTCTCAACAGGTAGATCCACTTAATTCATATCTCATTGTCCTTCAGCTCACAGGATCGACATGTTTATTTAAACCAGAATTAAGACCTAAATTAGCTTTTAAATTACCATGTAATTGTGTTTAGGGACATCGCCAGAGGCTACGAGAAAGTCCCCATCCCGTGTGTGAATGCGTTGGATAGCGAACCCTGTCCTGACAACTACAAATATGTCCCTGAAAGCTGTGTGACATCCCCAATGAACATTGACAAAAATATCACCCACTTGCAGGTAGACAAGCTGAAGTCCTGTTTTTATTGTAACACTTTTCAAATCTCATTGATATAAGAATGACAATTAATCGTCTTGGCACTGTTGACAAATTTGAGTTGGCTAGTTAGCTAAGACAGAACATTGAACGAGTAATAAATCTCTAAACTAAGTAAAAAGATGTATAATTGGTATTTCACTCTGCAGTACTGTGTCTGTAAAGACGATTGCTCCTCAGCTAGCTGCATGTGTGGCCAACTCAGCCTGCGCTGCTGGTATGATAAAGTAAGTCCATTTCTGAGCTCTCCATCCATAGAACCTAAACAGTCAGCTCTCTGTCATTCACTCTTGATGTTATATCTGTAAATTGGGAACATTTGGGTTATTTTGAAGCACAGTTACATGAATTACTAGCTCTTACTAGCTGTTGATGTCATTTGACTTGGCAAACATCTCCACCTAGAGGTGGAACTAGCTAAGTACAAGACAATGCGAAACGGTCTAGTCAAAAGTGTAAGTGGTGCTAAATCAAATATCACTGTTACTAATGCCCATACTTAGAGTTGGGTGTTTGTTAATTGTATTTAAAGTATTAAACTAGCTTAGGTAATATTGATATCTTTATCTAAGCGATAAAACGGATAAATAATAGGGGACCTGAGCATTATCTATGGACAGTAATAAAGTAAGAAACTATGTAGAAACCACCCAGAACACCCTAGCAAACTGCATACCAATGCCCTGAAAACCATTCTATGTAATCTAGCATCATGGTGGCGAGTTTTGAATTGCCAAGCACCATTGACATGTTGCAATGTTCATTTTAGTATGAGAGTTCAAATGTTTTGTGTTTGTGGTGTCAGGAGAGCCGTCTGCTGCCCGAGTTCTGCAATGAGAAGCCACCCCTTATATTTGAGTGCAACCACGCCTGCTCCTGCTGGAGAACCTGCAAAAACCGTGTGGTACAGAACGGACTGAGGTACCTCACATTTTTTTAATTCTACAATCTACACATAAAATCCTGAAGTTTATTTGACTAAAAATTCACTTGGTAATATTTGAAAACAGGAATTGTGCGCTCCATAAACTATGTAGAATCATTTAAAAATCAGACAATTAATCACCCTGACCAACTATTTAGTATTCACATTAGGGCTGGGCGATATAGCTAAAAAATGTATCAACGATATAATGTTTCATATCGTTCGGTAAATGCAAATGTTTATTTTAAATTCGACTAATATTCATTCTTTATTCACAATCTCTTTATCACAGGCAGGCACAGCACTCATTTCAGCAGGTGTTCGTGTTTGTTGTCTGCGTCACTCATAGCACGTGCGTATATCGTGCGCTATATCGAACATTTTTATATCGATATCGAAGAAGGTGTACCGTCGATAAATGTTGATACCGTTTTATCGCCCAGGCCTAATTCACATGTACTTGTTGTTCTATTGTAATATATGATCTGGATTGAGTGGTTTTCTCTTAAATGATTTCTTAGGATAAGACTACAGTTGTTCAGGACGCAGATGATGGGATGGGGTGTCAAGACGTTACAGGATATCCCGCAAGGAACGTTTGTTTGCGAGTGAGTTTCTTATTTAGAACCCTTTTGAGCTTTATGATGTTTCTACAGGTGATTGAGGCCTGCGTTATATCTTCCTGTTTCAGTCTAACTGTGTGTGTGGCTGTGCAGATGTTTGTTTAGGTGTGTCAGTATGGATACGATTGTGTGCTTAGTGTGTTTGTACCCTAATGTCTCATTTCCTTCCAACAGATACGTGGGTGAGATCATCTCTGACGCTGAAGCAGATGTCAGAGAGAATGACTCCTATCTTTTCAGTCTGGACAGCAAGGTATTGCCATCCTAGGATGACTTCCCTTCAAAATCACATTACCTCTCCTGTCTGCTCCCCGTCAATAGTGGATTATCTGCATGCCTGCAAGCACATTTTGCATATATTGTTTAGATGACCTCTGTCAGCACAGAAGAATGATTTATTTAGCTGTACCGTGATACTTTTAGTACTTGTATTTTAGGCCTTCAGTATTCTTGCTTAGACAGATGTTGGACTGATGGCATAAAATCTGGGTTGCACTACAGCTTATTCTGGCCAAGAACCATCCATTTAGAAGGATGAGTCTAACCAGCATGCAAGCAAGCAACCACAAAGGGAGAAAACTGAAGTACTGAAATCAACTATGATAAGAAATTAATTAAATTAATACTTTTTAAAAGTATTATTAAATGAATAAGGTAATTAATACTTTAAATAAATAATGAATTAAATATTTAAACTTTTATTCAAAAAGGATACATTAAATTGATCAGAAGGAACAGTAAAAGCCTTACACATTGTTAAAATCAATTTTTTGTTTTAAATATGCTGTTCCTTGTATTCATCTTTTTTTTTTTAATATATCACCGTTTCCGCAAAAATATTAAGCAGCACAACAGTTTTAAACATTGATGATAATAAGAAATATTTCTTGAGCACCAAATCAGCATATTAGAATGATTTCTGAAGGATCATGTGACACTGAAGACTGGAGTAATGGCTACTGAAAAGTCGGCTTTACAATTACAGGAATACATTACATTTTAAAATACAGTATATTGAAACAGAAAATTTTAAATTGTAATATTTCACAATATTATGTTTGTTTGTTTTTTCATAAAAAAAAAAAATCTTACATATTTTACCTGTGTGTGTGTATATATATATATATATATTTAAAAAGAATAAGAAAAAAATAAATCCTTATTGTTGAGCCCCTCCCAGTCTCTTCAGTCTGACCTCACTCTACAAACACCTTCTCAATTTATTTTCTGTCACTGCTGTTGCAGGTGGGTGATATGTACTGCGTTGATGCACGTTTCTATGGCAACATCAGCCGCTTCATAAACCATCACTGTGAGCCGAATCTGTTCCCCTGTCGGGTGTTCACCTCTCACCAGGACCTCAGATTTCCTCACATCGCGTTCTTCGCCTGCAAGAACATCAGTGCTGGAGACGAACTTGGGTCTGATTTACATCATTGTCCATTTACTTGCTAATACTCAATTTAGGTTGACTCAACATGTTAGTTTCCCCATCATGCACTTCATGAATGCATTTGTTGGGAGCTCATTTATTTTTACCGGAATATAAAATTGGAATTTCTCTCCCCATCTCAGGTTTGATTACGGTGATCACTTCTGGGACGTAAAAGGGAAGCTGTTCAGATGCCAGTGTGGCTCATCCAAATGCAAGCACTCAGCCACTGCCATCGCCCAGAGACAGGCAGATAGTACGCCGGGAGACCAGCAGCCCAGCGCCTTGCCCGATACCAGCTCGTCCACCCCATCCAGCCCCAGCTAAGCCCTCTGACAACCATCTTTCTAGCATAAAACATCCGGTTCTCCTACTTTTACGGTCGCTTCCCATCACCAGCACGGGTACCTCTGCTATCTCTAATAAGACCAACCCGGGCCACTTGATGCCACACCCACAGTGCCACGTTTAGCTCTGCTGATCTGAAAGCCTGATTGGTTGAAACGGTGTAAGGGTTTAAAGTCTTGAAGGTGAGAGGTGCACAATTGGACTGTTTTTTCAGGGTGTTCAGTACGCACATTTTGTATAGGTTTTTTTATTGTCATCCCGCCCCTTTGGACCACGATACATCTTGTTCGACATCATGAAAAGAGCTCAAAGTGGATTTTTTTTTTTATCTCTCTTGAGAATGAACCTGTTTGAGCCAATTTATGGACTTTGCAACAGGTTTCCGTTGAGTACTACCTTATTCTTGTCACACGGTGTTCTCCTGCCCGACTCGAACTTCTGCGCCATTCGCGTACACACTTCTTGTCATCTTTTATGAACTTTATTCTTCACGGTTTCGAACAGTCAATTCCCAAATGAGTTTCAAATAATGTTTGCATCAATTTGTTTTACTTTTTTTCTGATTTTAGTTTTTGTACATTCACAGAATATGCAGAAAATTATGTAAAGGTATTCAAAGACCAACCTTTTTTTCCCAGTAGCCTTTTCTGAGTCATTCAGTGGGCTGTATTAACTTGAGATGAGCTATTGGCTAGCAATCATTGGAATTAAGCGCCCGTCGAGCGTGTCCTCTGGTTCACAGACGCAGGACGTCATGTCAGTGCTACCAAAATCATGAAAAGGCCTCTGAACAGGACATTTTTGGCCTATTTCCTCCCAGTAATAAGCCCAGTTCTTAAGTATAAATGCGTTTTAATGGCGAATCGCCACTGGAAGTGCAAATTAATTCGGGACAAGTCTAAAAACAAGCCCTATGGGTTATTTCCTGCATGTTACAGGCCTGGATAGACACGGCTGTTGTTAAATGCCATATTACTTGCACCCCCATCAATGCAAATGCAAACTGTAAAATATTTCTATATGTACTTTCGGTCACAATGATGGAACCTGTTAGCATGCTTTTGAGACATGTGCTTTAGGAATAGGACTGGAACGTTTCACTCTGGTGGAATGAAAAGTGGTCGGGTGTAGGAAAACGCAAATGGTGCTGAAAAAGGTTTTTGTTATGTTAATTTTGTATTACTCACCAAGTGAATACAAGTTGTAAAATATGGTGAAGAAGCAAGTGTTTCATTTTTTTTTTTTCCCTTTTCATTTGTATTTTTAAATTGGCATCTGTTTTTTCTAACTGTAGTTTGACAATAGTTAGCCTGCATCGATTTTGTTCCATAAGTTCATGTTGATGGTGAAACTATTACAGTCTTTTTAAATGTTGATAGTGTAGTCATGTCCTTTGTGCAAATCCAGACATAGAGATTCAAAACACTGCAAAATGAGGGGGAACAACGAAAACGGTAACACATTTCTGGACAGTGAAACATGATGCACAATCTTACTGGTTGTGTTTTTCTTTTTCAATAAATTTACTACTCATAAAAGAGAAACATCTCTGTCACTGTTATGAAAAAATAACATGAAGTACGATGATAAATACTAGTTTTGCGAATCTGGAACTAACAATCTCTGCTGTTCATCCCATAACGCTTTTTGAGGAAGCAGATAATTCACGTTTTTGTCTTTGGAGTTACACTTTTAACCCATGTGGCCACAAATGAGACCCAAGGAGTTTTGCGATGCAAAACAGGAAGCCTTTTGATAATTTATCAAGAGGTGTTTTTTTCTTTCACTTTTATAAACTCTTTGATTATTCTCTTCCTGATTACTTGAGTTTTTGGTTGTAATTGATCCAATGAAATGTGAGCTGATGATTGAGGCCCTCTGACTTTGCCAATAAAGGCTTTTAACTAATGAGACAGGAAACCTGCTTTTCCGCATTCCACAGTTGCAAACTTTAAGACCTGTTCACTATTACAGCGGTCAGTACAGTTATGAGGATCACGCTTTGTGGATACACAGTTACGCTGAGAAGCTGGATCGTGTAAATTCATAGAGCTGCACAAGGTTAACAAATAGGCAGGGCCATGAAGGGGTCAACACGGCATAACTCTGACTGGAAGGAGAGAAAATCCACTGTTATCTATGGTAGGATGTTCACTGGGTTTGTCTTTCGAGGTTGCCGTGTCATTAACTGGGTTGTGGATTGTTATTCATCTGTATCACAGTGAACTCTTCACTTATTTTAATGATAGATAATGCTTTAGTGACATTTAGTGGCATTTAGGTTTAGTGACATTAAATGATGAGCTGAGACTGAATGTCTTTTTGTGGGTGAATCTCACAAAAACATGTCCAGGTTATGTTACTATAAAAGCTTGTTTCTACCACAAGTTAAAAAAAATGAATAAGGTAATTGCAGTCATTTTATCTCACAATTCTGACTTTTTTTTTCTTCTCACAATTCAGTGTTTACATCCCACAATTCCGAGTTTACACCTTACAATTTCACATTTATATCTTACAATTATGGCTTTTTCTCTTAATTCCTAGTTTACATCTTTTTTTCTGCCAAAGGATTAAAAAAAAAGGTATTGAGACTTTTTATCTCACAATTCTGCATTTATATCTCACACTTCTGAGCTTATATCAAGCAATTCTGGGGGAAAAAAGTTTGAATTGTAAGATATAAATTTTTAAATTATGAGGAAAAAGTCGCAATTGTACTAGTTTTTGTCCTGTGGCGAAACAGGCTTCCATAAATTTCAAATACCAAAACTGATTTTTTTGCATTGTGATATTTACTTTGATGACAATAAGGAATATGTTTTTTTAATCATTACCTTTTTTCATTCCAATTATTCTCAGTGTTATTAATAATAATAATAATAATTTCTTTTTTATTGCTAAAGAATTACTGTTATGCAATAAAATTTGTATTTAAATTAATATAAGTACAAACTACAGTAATATATAATATATAATTTGTATTTATTTATTTATTTTCATTATTGTAATAAGATTTTTTTTTGTTTTTTTGGCTTACTAGTAACAAGAATTGTAGGGCAATTATTTTGTAGTAGTTTTATTTTTATTGTTTAATTGTAATTATGAAAACTGTCATAATGCAAAAATACTTATACAGTAGGCCTTAAATATTAATTTTGTAAGAATTATTACTTGATATAGCGTAAAAATGACAGGAAGTCCTTTATAATTGGCCCTATACCAAGCATGCATTTGTCTCACTTCTTTCATTTCCCTGTAATGTGTGTGATTTCTTTGAGTCAGTCTGTTTATCATCTCTCCTCTTATTTCAAAAATAAAGCCGCCCGATTGGCCACACTTGGAACATGGCGGATGTTGACTCTGGGCACAGAGTTCAGTTCCTGGGCTCAGTCTTCTGAGCCACCTGACAATCAGAGGAACAGAAGAGCAGCTTTAACAGAACTATCCAGTAAGGACAGTCTGTATGAGGAGAGCCAAACTGCCAGAGATGACCAGAACACTGCAGAATGTAGCAAATATGATACTGTGGTAGAGCTGGAGAGGCCCAGTGACCTGAAGAACACAGATATCATCAACGCCCATGAAACGTGTCAAGAGCAGGTAGCAGCATGGGAGGAGAGGTGAGCAGCAGGGGATGCAAGTCATTTGTAATGTAACCCACACTGAAGGTTATTAGCTTCTTTATCATGGTCTGCTGTAAATTTAAAGCTTAACACTGTTAAAGGTCAATACTGAGAAATTAACACAATCACAATTGATCATTTTAATTCATTCTATTAGCCACTAGGGGGGCTAAAGGCTCAACTACAGTGGCCTCAAAAAGTATTTGGACGCTTAAACATATCTGGAATATATGAACTGAATTGTGCAAGGTAAAATATCAAACCTCATGAAATAAAGAAAAAAAAATTATTTAGTGCATTATATATTCTAATATGCTGAATTGATGCTCAATAATTATTGCTTATTCTTATTTAATTAGTAATAACAGTTATTATTATCAGTGTTCCAAAAAAGTTTTTGCTACTCAGTATTTTTGTGGGAACTGTGATCCTTTTTTTTTTCAATGAATATAAATCATATCAACAGGAAAATATTCTTGAAAAAAAAAATAAAATACAGAGATCCAAGAACTGTCCTGATTGAAAACTTATTTTCCTTGTATCTTCCGTCTGTGTGTGTGTGTGTGTGTGTGTGTGTGTGTGTGTCTTGAATCCTTTCCACTGCAATGCCCTAGGGTGTTGTAGGATGGAGCTCTGGTATGCCACACATCCAGAGATTAGCTCAACAGCCTGGAGTCTCTCATGAGATTTTGTGCCTCTGGGTCTGGACTGGCTGCATGCACACACACAGAAAATTCTTCACACTTACTGACCCTAATGCCTTGAGCTTCACATCTGGACGTGCTGAATACTTTTCTTTCAACAACCTTTCCTTTGGAGAGGTGGAGATGCCCTGGCTGGAGTCATGTTTTGCCTATATGGAGACCAGCTAATGTAATGTTTTAATGAATTGTAATTCTAACTGTAATGTTTTAAGATTTAAATATAAATGTAAAAAGGTTCTGTGAGTGTTAAGGTAGAAAATATAATTAGCTAAATATAAAAACAACACAAAAATATGTATTGTATATAATATATTGTAATATATAATGTATTAATATATAATGACGTGGTACAACATGATTTGAAACTGATCCAAGGAGCATATTTCAATCTGCCTGTATTTTAGTGATTAATAACAAATTTGCTTCTTTGATTGTGACCTATAGTGCAGTCTTGCATATTTCTTAATATTTTCCCCCCATAACTTTCAAACCCAGAAACTTTCCATTTATTTCCATGTTTAAAATTAGATTTGTATGTTCAATCATCAAATTTGTGCAAATGTATTATGAAAATGTGTATATGTGGCCGAGAATAGTATGCATTAAAATAACTAAACAAAGACACACAATGCAGCTTGATAATTTATTGACTGACAACAACAGGCAATCAACAATTCGCTTTTGCTTTTGTGTAATGGTGCCACTGATTTTGGCCATTAATGTTCTATTCTATTATAAACAATTCAAAAATCTTTTAAGATTCAAATGTAGTAATTTATTAACAATGAAGAGCTTTTGCTTGGCGCTTTTACTTCCTTTTCAAATGGACACTAAGCAAACAATAAGACAAACAGTTATAAATATCATTCATTGATGATCAATTAAGACACCCTCCCCCTCACGCGCTCTCCAGCAGGTGGTCCTGCCTCTAGGGCCGTTTGCGTCACGTGTGAAAGCCTCGCGCAGCGTCCATTAATTTGGCACCATTCGTACCGTGCGCTTCTCCAAGTGCAGTTGTTGTGTGCAAGCGCAAAGCAAATCATTGCTGAAGAGAAAAAACGTTTGTACGTGCATATGGAATACCTTTTATTCGCGCTTTTGATTCCACCAGCTCGTTTTTACCGTCTAGCGTAACGCGTAAGTGATGGTGCACATTTTGGTTTCGTGACCTGTCAGCTGGAGCAGATTGTGTTGGGTGGATGTGGCACGAATTGGAAGGTTACACATTTTCCATTGTTCGAAATGCACTCAACGGGAATGACATTTCTATGACAAGTTTCTCTTTTGTGCAATTTTCTGAGCAATGGAGTGAGGCGAGAGCGCACGGGGAGCTGGTTAAAAGGGACTTGTATATTTGTATTTCACTTCACATAGACTGATGGAGACTCTAAGTGGTAACAGATGTCTGTACTGTAATGTGCACTCTTCATCTTCTATTTAATGCCAGTTTGGATTTTACCTGTTGGATATCTGCATGTCTAGGATGGCTCGCTTTGGAGACGATCTGCCCACCCGCTATGGAGGTCCAGCGGGCGCTGGGAGAGGGGGAGCCCGGGCAGGAGGTCCCTCGGGCGGTCGCTTCACTGTCAACCGCTCTTTGTTCATCTTCAGTGAGGACAATGCCATCAGGAAATACGCCAAAAGAATAACCGAATGGCCATATCCTTAATGTTCAAGAAAATGGATATAGCTTCATGGCATCTCCACTTCTACATTTGATCTCACTCTTTTTAGAAAGCGTGTAAATACACGCTTTTAGATCTGGCAATGTCAAAGGAACTGTTGCGTGCTGAAATGGTGATTGACACCGAAATGTCTTTTTGTTTTCACGTGTTCACGCACTTTAAAGCATTGGACAGCTGGTGGTCGTGTCAGGGTGTTGGCAGATCAGCATTTTTATTTTCTAATTCAAACGTTGGAAAGTCAAGCGCTTGATAACCCTTGGCTAACGTTTTTTTTTTTTTTAACCCGGGTTACAGACTAGTTTTAACCATCGGGTATGTAACGTTTAAAACGGGATTTGGCACCACCAAATACACAGTGTGAAATAAGCGGTGTAAGAACGTTACAGCTAATTGATTGGCAACAGACAACCAATAAAAAAACTGGCATAGCGCTTCCTCATTGGATATTCATATGCTCCGTTTGGTCACAGAAACTTTTACGCGCTGTTTAGTTTAAGTATCTAAGCGGTTAAGACGTCGAACAGTGAAGATTCAAAACAGTTTCTGCTGTGTTTCAGAGCGGTTGCACCTTTATACAGACTGACACGCAGTTGCAGGTCGCGTCTTGTAGTTCTTTCAGTGATATTGGCCTTATAAATATGCAAATAATAACGGTTGCAGGGTTTAACGTACAGTGTGAAATGTATAACTCAGGATAAAGTATGAACAGGGTGAAACATTGAACACAATAGCTCAGGATTACATTTACCAAGAGAGAAAAACAGTCTCAAGACTATGGTGTAAAACATTGTAGATTTAGTTGTTAACGAAGGGAAGCTAATGTGTGGCTAATGGAGAAATGGCGGCAGCAGTAATGGCAATGTTAAATAGTTGCCTACTACTACTACTTCTATTACTGATACTAATAATTCCATAAAATTATATAGTTCATTAGCATAACTGTAAATTGTTAACAAGGTTGCTAGTAGTTCATACAGAATAAATATGGGTAGCCAATGTATATCGTTGTTTTACATTGGTTCATTCAGTCAAAGTTTAAAATCATTTACATTTTATAGTTTAATTCGAAATGGTTCTTCAAGAAGAAATGTATGAACCCAGAGAGCTTTTAATTCATAATTTTTTTAATTTTATTTTATTTATTCGTTTATTTTTTTGCATCTTGGTTGTAAAAAGCTGTAGCGCTCTCCAGGGTCCTGAAATCTCACCATTGATGTTCCAAGTTCTCCAACATTTACTAGAATTTTACAGCACTGTGCAATCAGATATCCTGCCTTTATTTCTGATAAATACATCCAGTTTGTCGTACAGTCCATTTAAAATGCATCTTTATGGAATTCAGGCATTCATAGCACTAG